AAAAAAAAAAAAAAAAAAAAAAGTTCTTCAACGTTTGCCAGGTGCTATGGAGGCTGGTGTTTGTTTCCCATATGTAAAGCCAAATCCTGTGTTTGTTTTTTTTTGCTAAATCCAACCACATGTTTTTGTTGCCTTAAACCCAACCACATGTGTATGTTGACTAAACGTAACCAAGTGTGTTGTAGAAGAAAACTATTGTCAATTTGCGATGTTATACCAACATAGCACATTTATTTTGAAAGAGTCTGTATACAAACTGTACATTTCCTGTGAAGTGTATTTTAGAAATAGACAATGCATGTAACGGACTGAAGCTGACACAGCAATCCAGATAGTCAAGAACAGATGTGCCCAGGCTACCTTGTACGTCATATGTCGACATGCAAAGTCCATGACTAAACATTGATATGTGATGAGGTCGGAGTGAGAACGTGATGAAAAAACCTGTTGATATCCAAGTCTTTCAAAATGAAAAGTTCACGACCAAACAACGATATGTGACGAGGTTGGAGTGAGAATGTGTTGACCTTTCTGTTGCGATGTTCTTGCTTCAGTAGTTAAACAATAGATTCATTGTCATTCTACAGAAAAAATATATGGTTCTACCTTAAAATTAAATGTTCAATGCTTATAAAAATGCAACTCAGTGTTGACATTGCACATTTCCACAAACTATGAATATGTTACATTTGCACGTTATTACATAGCAGATACATAAAGATGTTATGGTTCAACAGTGCTGTGGTTACCATGTGGTTAGGTTTAGGCACAACAACCACTCTGTTATGGTTAGGAAAAGAACACATCTTGACCTAAATACATGCTCTTCATGTCACTATCCCAACTGGAAACTCGGCTATCTCTTGTGGTAAAACAGCAACAGGATGCAGCTTGGCTGGTGTCTCGCCAAAGTGTCATGCCATAACAGCCACTGCAGCATAACGTATTTCAGCCAGCTAAAAAAATCAGTATCAGTGTCAGTGTACGCTATATTTGAATATTAGCTCTGCTTTACCATACACACTAACCAATCAATTTTGCAGAATGGAGTCTGGTGGCCTTGATATAACAGCTTATATTCCCTGTCGCAAAAGGCTGTATGACTGCAAGGTAAAGTGGTGAAAATATTCAGAATATATATTAATGTTTTTTTGGTGGGCATTTTATGGTGGCTAAAAACTAACAGAGGCAGAGTTGGATCAGCACAGTTTGATTTTATGTACATGATGTGAGGATTTTCCAAGTGGAAGTTATTATAAATAGGCTAAACATCGTGGCTGTGTCTGACATTATTCACTCGTTTACTACTACTCACTATCAGTGTTGGGCAGTAAGGCGTTATTAGTTAGTTAAGGTTCATTCTCACTGCCGCGATACGGAAATGCGGGACGGATATGCGGAATATTCGCGGAGCACTTTTCCGCCCTCAAACCATACACACAGGCGCGGTACGGACGCGGTGTGGAATTTCGCGTTGTTGTGTTCCAAGTCCGCGCAGTGTGAATGTGGACGAGAGTAACAGCAGCAGCAGCAGCGAGCTAGCAAGCTAACGTTTAACAAGCGTCAACATCAACTTTCTTTAGCACTTACCACTCTCACCGCAGCCACCAAGCTAGACAATGGACTAACAGACGTTGTCCTTTAATTCATTGTTCATAAAATCATCCCGTCTTTTATCAAAAAGGACAGGGTGCTGTGAAACAAGGTTTATCAACCTTTCTCCCATACTGTCCTGCCTGGCTGGATTTCGGACTCTCCCGGGTCTGCGCCACTATAAAGGCCCTGTCAAAATACCCGCACTTGCGCACTTGCGCCCCTTAATTGCGCGCTCCCGCAAAGGGGCAAAAGTGCGTAGGGTGTCCCAATTGTCTTCTGATGTTATCAAGGGGTGCAAACCTGCGCCCTTAATGCACCCCTTCCGAAAGTGCACATCAGACCTCACTTCGCTGAAGGATTTTACCCAGAATCCTCCGTAGTGTCGTGACGCCTAACACTGCATAGCTGGCCGGCACAACTCACCATCTTCAAACGGTAACTGACGTGTCCGCGAGCCAACTCCGAATGACAAAAACTGTTAGAGGAACATAACGTCAAACAACACGCTGTGTGGACTTAATAATACATGACAGGGCGTTAATAATGAAATAATACACAGTTTACAATCGACTGGAGGTTTGTATGACAGTCCACATCACTTTACAGTTTTGATTGTGTCTTTAATTATTATTATTTTATTACAGTATGTCTTTATAGTTTATTTTATAGCCTATCACAATTTATCCAAGCAAAAAACGTTTTAATAGGAATAACGGTAATCTAGGCTACGTTAACGGTAGAGTAAAAAAAAGACGTTACAGCTAATATACACATTATTAACAGGTAAATTCAAGGGTAAAATTTAATTTAATTTATCCATTGGCTGGGCATCAGCATCAATAGGGCCTACTTGGATCTGATGTAGATGCCGCCTTCTCCTGCGGCTCCTAACGCCGGATTTCCACTGGATGCGTATCCATTGCGGAATGGCAGCGCTGGTTATCCGCTGCGTGCTCCGCCGTCCATCAATACCCACCGGCTGCGTTTGCTGTGCGGAGCGGTGCAGCTCCGCAGGAAGACATCTCGGTGCACTGCCATGATTAATATCTCCTCGTCCATGGTGTCAACGGGATGAAATGACGTCTGAAAACCTCTGACCTGTTGACTTCAGGCCTGCCTCTGTCCATTATGTAGTTTTCAAGGTGTAGTGCAGGGAAATATGATCCGCCGTGAACACTGTGTATTTTATTTTGAAAATTAACCGGATGTTTTATTTTGTTTCTGTGCACGACTTCCTGCCCCGCACGATCTGCTCTGTGCTGAATTGCTGCGTTGTGCGGGGCAGGAAGTCGTGCACAGAAACAAAATAAAACATCCGGTTAATTTTCAAAATAAAATATACAGTGTTCACGGCGGATCATATTTCCCTGCACTACACCTTTAAAACGTCATAATGGGCAGAGGCAGGCCTGAAGTCAACAGGTCAGAGGTTTTCAGACTTCATTTCACCCCGTTAACACCATGGACGAGGAGATATTAATCATGGCAGTAAACTGAGATGTCTTCCGGTGGAGCTGCACTGCATCGCACAGCAAACGCAGCCGGTGGGTATTGATGGACGGCGGAGCACGCAGCGGATAACCAGTGCAGCCGTTCCGCAACAGACACACATCCAGTGGAAATCCGGCATCACAATTACATGATCATTGAGTATTTACACCTTGCTTTGCTAAAGTGCATCTGCTCTGTGAGCCTGGTGATGTTAGTGTGATGTCAGAATAGAAAAGTGTTTTGGCAAACTGTCAGAGGATGCAGTCCTAATTGGGGTGACTGCTTGTTAAACCACATGTGGTACTTGATTTATACATTAAATACACAGTATGGGGGGAGTGGGTGTGGAGGACTTGGACTTGCAGGAATATGAATTAGAACACCTGTGATTAAGCTAGGCTGAATAATGCAAGAACAAGTAATATAAATTATTATTTTTACTCTGATAACATCTTGTCATCAAAATAAAAGTTCCTTGCCATGATGCACTAGAGAGACAAAATATAATTGTCTGTCAAACCTTGAAGGAGCAACTGACTGTGCAGATATGCAACAGAATTACTGCGTGATGGCTGTGTCAGACTGACATACTTTGCTAGAACACTGCAAGACAAACATTTACCTTGACTTTCCTCATGTCTTGCAGATTGCAGGATAGGGATTTGGAAATCTGGGGCTGGGGGATTTATAAAATACCACAAGAATTTCAAGTGAATCCTAACTGAAATTTATGGAAATCAGTAACACTGGGCCAGACAGGCCGAAACACCCACATGATGTTCCCAGTTAAACCCACAAATCTGTGAGAGGAGCACCTACTGTGCCCACCATCAGAGAGAAACAGAAGCTGTGTCAGGACTGTGGTAAGCGCTAATAAACACTGATCTCCTGTCCACTCAGCTGCAACCTTTTACCTGCAAGGTGTTTTTGATTTATTACCCCGTGTGGGGCAGGTGGGTGGAGCTCAGCCCTCCATTAGTTCTAATTCCTAATGATAAGACTGAACAAGGTCAGACAGAACAAGGTGTGACATTTGAGAGATTTAATCTGGAGCTGAATACCAAAGAAAAGAAAAAAGACAGACAGCGAGCATGAGAACTCACCTCCCATCTCTGTCCCAGTCGTATACATCCACCTTGACCGTCCTGGAGGGAGGGGAGATAGACAGAGGAGAGAATCACAGAGGGAGGAAGTGTGTGATAAAAAGAAACAGAGAAAAAAGATTAATAGAGTTTTAGAAAGTAAGTCAGGAGCTAAAATTCTCTTGGCCTTCACATCAAAGAATGTTTCACATTTTATGATGCAGAGTAACAGTGTCAGATTTCATCAAAGAGGATATTATAGGAATCTTTGGCACTGATCCTTAGGCTACTTCCACACTGTAAGACTTCATACTTCATTTGGATAATTTGCTCAGATTCGATTTTTTTTTTGTGTGTGGCATTGTTTACATGATTTATAAAAATGTGAGATTCCAGTGTGAACTAGTCACTGTTCTGAACTGACCTGCATGAGCAAAAGAAAAATAGCAAAGCCATCAAACACAGCACACTGTGGTACAGAAGTAAACATGGGGGCCAGTACACTCAGAGTTCATGGCTTCATTTATAAGTTGATGTGCAGTGGGAGCCAACGAATTCATGAGCAGATGATAATGAGGATGAGCAGAAAGAGAGCTGAATTTTTAATTATAGCTTTTTGTGGAGCAAGGGCTGCTACTTTTGTATGGAGGTGTGTGGAGTTGGAGCCAAGAGTGGTGATATGGTGCTGATGAATGGCTTCACTGCAACAGATTTCATCCAAAATTTCAGGATGTCAATGGTTACTTCAGTACCTCTCCACAGGACATTCAGGTCAGCCGAGTGACGTAAAAGTGAGGTCCCATTGCAAAAAAATGTATCTCATTTAGGAGCACGTACGAAAGTGGCCTACAGTAAATCAGAATGGAAAAGATCAGATTCCACGTCATTTGTGCTGTTCACACTGACTATGTTTACATGCACATTAATATTCCACTGTTATACTTTTAAACATTATGAAAGACTATGATATCAACAGGTTTTTCCAACACATTCTCACTCCGACCTTGCTGCATATCAATATTTGGTCATGGACTTTTCATACCGACATATGACATGCAAGGTGTGTTGGTTGTTGACGTTCTGGGACGCCATGTCAACTTCAGCCTGTTACGTGCATTGTCTGTTTTTTCGAAATACACTTCCATTTTCACAGGAAACGTACAGTTTGCATACAGTCTCTTGAAATAAATGCATTAAGTCAGTACAACACTGCAAATTAACCTTTTTTTACTTCAACAAATGCACAAAGTTACGTTACATGCATGTTGTTGGGTTAGGCAACAATGTAGTTGGGTTTAGCTAAAAATAACAGTGTTTGGCTTTACAATCATACCAGTGTCACAAGTGAAAATTGGTGGTTGTTGGACTGTTGTTATCCTGCTGCGTTTCCCTGCCATTAAACTATAGCAGTGACCGGCTGTGTATCATGCCAATATAAAAGGATGTCTGTTCTCATCAGTGTCTAACGGTGGAAGTTACTGACCAAGCACTGATTTTTGACAACTGCGGAGGGAGACCAAGGTGGTTTTGGATATGCACAAATATCATAATGCCAACCTTTTTTAAAAAGGTGGCTGAAGGAAGGAAGGAGGGAGGCTGTGTTTGCATAGCCGAACAAAGCCACTGCTGGGAAACTCTGAAAAATCCTATTTTGATGCAACGAACCAAACTATCAAATTAAAATCATCACAAACCATGTCACACATGAAACTGGGGCTTTTGTGTGTCCTCAAGGTCTTTTTCATCTTTTTCTAAAACTTAAAAACTATATTTGTTATTTTATTAATTTTCTATTGTGAACAATTTTTTTTAAAATACCAAAAACAACAATGTGTTTGTCCATATCACAATACTTTCTATAACTTCACCTACCCTGTCTGTAGCACTCAGCCCCAAGCCTATGTGTTCCTATTGAAGATGTACATCTTAAAATACAGTTCACAGATATATAGTTTGTTTAAAATAAAAAGGAAAGGAAACCTAAACAATTTCCCCAGTCATTTGGTCACTGTTGTTTTTAGCAAATGTTAATCGAACAGGAGGAAATAGTACATTTGTCGGGGACTTTTTTCAACGGTGGAATAAACCCATATTTTGTGCTCCAATGGCTATTTGTGGCAGCAGGATGGTGTGAGTGTGGGACTGAGTGAAAATCAACCACAATGTGTGCATTCATGGTAATGAAGGAACACGTCATCCAGTGCAACAGTGTGGCTCACTGATCTGTTTTTAAAGCCTTTAGAAACACAGCTTGAAATAGTAAAAATGCACATATTATATCAAAGTTGAGTGTCTAATTAATCATCCACTAAAGTCTGAGTGAAAATAACCATTCATAACTATTAGAAAACCTGGTTTAAAAACAGCTCATTTTGCTGTTTAGACCACTTGCCAGGACAGAGTGGGCGTGGCAGATAACGCTCTGATTGACAGCTCCCTCATTTTGATTGACATCTCCCTGGCTCAGCAATGGCTGCCAAAAATTTAATCCAGCCGTACATGTTTGAGCCCTCTGATGATTCAGAGGAAGAAGCAGAAGCCCTGCCAGCTGAAAATGATTCCTTTCAGGTGGTCACTGAATGGTAAGTTTCAAAATGTTTTGTGATTCATATTAATGTTACTTCGTAGAATAGTTAGCATAACTTTTACATGCAATGTTAGCTGAGATGAATGACAACGAGAGGCTAGCGCTTTGCCTTTCTTCATTGAGATACGTTTTCACTGAAAACATAAATCTGCTCCGTTTCTCTGATAATAGCCTTTTTCATTCAAACACATCCAGTCTTAATAGATTAAATATGTCTTTACTCTGACACACATACCGACCCTCAAAGCGGGAGAGACTGGTGCTGGCCGGCCGTCTCTCTGGCGTTGTGTAGAAGTATTTGCCCGCCTCGAATAATGTTCTCCTCTGGCTAAAATTGTGTTTTTTCCCGCAGCATCACCTCCGCGACTGGGGATATGTTTATGCGTAGCAAAGCTAACTGCTTGGGGCTGGGGTTAGGGGTGAGGAAGGGCGCACATTACATCCCCTCCCCGCGAGCCGTCACTGGCACCGGGCCGGGGGGCAAGCCTGGCCGCTCACAAGCCGCCTCTTACTGCAGCTCCACGAGCTGCAAAGGCTCGGATTGACCGAGCTCTGGAGCCGGTCAACCTGATTCGAGTGCTGCTGGGAGCCCGCCAGAGGCAGAGCCTCCGCTGCTTCACAGCAGAGCGGTTCAGCCAGTTTACGATCTGTATTTTCCCACTGGGGGGCGGGATGAGACAACTGACGGATGATTTATATTGGTTTGGAATTTAATGCGTAATAAATCTAAGAGATAACCACGGCTAAATCAAACCCAATTTCAAGAACGTACAAAAACTTAAAAGACAGATATTTCGAATTTGGATGGAAAGTGATTTCTAATTGTTTTTACATGTTTAATATTATGTACATAAGACCCTAAATTACATAGTTAGAAGGCTATTGTGGATTTGGGTTTCCAGAGGCTTTAATAGTGTCTGGATAACAATGGAGCACAGAGGAAGAAGATGAATCTGGCTTGGATACACACACAATGCTTGTTAGTGGAGACATTCATTGTTGTTTTTTCATAGAATTTGTACCTGGAGTAATACAAATAGCTATGACTATCACCTGGGTTTTAATTGATAGCTCCAGGCAGTGTGTGGTCATTGAGGTTGAACAGGACAATGTTTGACAAACTGTTAGTTCGTTATTATTTTTGTGGGATCCTTGTTTAAATTTTGCTATTGCTCTTAAAAAAAGAAAGACAGTTTTGGTTACAATAAAGTGAAACAATGAAGTCAAGGTAAGAGTCCAGTTTTGAATTAAAATAAAAAAGAAAAGAAGAAAAAATGTGCATATACACGCGTTTGTGCATGTGAGATCCAACCAGGGGCGTTGCTAGGAGTTGAAAACATCTGGGGCTTTGGCCCTGAAGTGGGAACAATTCTGTACCCGGGGGTTTGGGGGTTTCTCCCCTGGGAAAATTTTGAATAATTCCACATGATTTTAACGTATTTTGACAAAGAATGAATTATCATTGGGTTGCCCAAATTGTTGGTTAAAAGTCCCCCAACTGGGGGAACAACTTTGAGAACAACTTTGCAAACAGTGTGAAATAATGCACTAATCACAAAGAATATGCTGCACATCAAATTAAACAGCAGAACCTGGGCTACACCCTTTTTACATGCCCCAAACACAGCTCAAACAACAACTAAATAAATAACAACAATAATTATAATAACAATAAATCAAACTCCATACCTACTCATCATATTTCGGGCTCTATTACAATGCCACGTTATGCAAAACACACACCATTCATGTCAAATGAAGCATAGACACTGCTCTTTCCACATATATGCACCAAAGCACCCTACACCAAAGCATCAGAGAGATAGAGGCCAAAGAACAACAACAACAGAAATAGTTTCACCGAGCCATAGTTGTAAGATTTCTCTTACAGCTGTTGTTTTGCCGTGAAACGTTAATTCGGCTACACAGTACAATCCGGTAGATCGACAAGTTGTGCTGCATATAAATTAATCTGGGTGAACCTGATGGGCTTTAGGACCCGGGGGGGAGCATAACAATGACCACAGACATTACAGTGCTGTCAATCTCATGTTGGTGGGTATAGCATCATTCTATTGGCTCTAACAAATCAAACGAAATGTCAATCACTCAAATCGACCAATCCGTTGCGGAGATACGAGCCTCCAAAGCACAGAAGAGTAAATTTGCTTAGAACACGGCACTCTTAAATACTTGATTCTGATTGGTCAATCAACAAAATTCTGCGGTGTTTATTTCTTGAGGTATCACCACTGCTCTGCTGCTCCGTTGCTCCCTTGCTAGGGACACCATAGCAACGGCCTTAGACTGAGGAGCATCAAAATCAGTTAACGTTAGTCCACACAGGCCAAATAGGATCGTAGTGGCAAAATGCAGCATTTTCAGGACATCACATTTAACATTTTTGGAGATAATTGGAAATAGATGGACCAGCAAATCGAAAGCTTTGCTTTCTGGCCCAGCTCCTTCTTCACCACGACTGTCCATTGCAGTGCCCACATCACTGCTGATGCTACGCTTTACAGTCAATTCATCTCATGCTCCATTCTACACTCACTCGTGAATAAGACCCTCAAGACATTTGAACTCCTTCTTTTGGGGCAATTACTGTCTCCAAACCCAGAGGGAGCGATCCACTGTTTTCCAGCAGAGAACCATGGCCTCAGACTTGGAGGTGCTGACTCTCATCCCGACCACTTCACACTCTGCAAACTGGAGGTCAAGGTGTGATGAAGCAAACAGAACCACATCATATGCAAAAGGCAGAGATGATAATTCTGAGGTCCCCAAACTGAACTCCTTCCTCCTCAAGGTTGCTGTCCATGAATAACACAAACAGACAATGGACAACCCTGGCGGAGGCCAGCACCCACTGAAAACGTGTTTGCCTTTACACAGAGTATGCAGACACAGCTCTCATTTTAGTCACACAGGGACGGTGCCGTAGCATTGTTCCGACCTCTCATTAGTCCGACGTCCCGTTGTTCTGATATGTGATTATTACTGTATTTGTGTACCATAGAGGAACAGCAACGCAACAAAAGTAGGCTACTGGTTGAGATACAAGTGTCATAGAGAGGACAGAATGAAACACCATAACCTCCTGTTATTAACTCTGGGGTCCGGGTTGTGTGGGGAGCTTTCCGTGGTGCTGAACGGCTCCCGGCGGGCATATTTTTGCCTTGATGGTGCGCCGCGACCAGCTCTGGGTCAGCTGGGAAAGGCTTGAGGAGAAGCAGGCTCACGGCTTATGTGTTTGCCACTTTCTTTTTCATTTTAACCCAAACCATGATCTTTTCCTGACCCTACGGGACTTCGGAACAATGGGTTTAATATGGTCGGAACAATGGGATGTCGGACCAATGGGCAGACCCCACAGGGACTGGATGGCTGTGATTTCACTCTGGCTGCTCTTCCCCTCTAAAAGGCCATAGTATAAAATAGATTTGGATGTTAGGTTAAAAAAAAAACAACAACACGACTTAGGTCAAGCTTTAACCTGGATTAATGGTTTATGGCCAGTGTAAGTACAGTCACTTAGATATTTGTGAGATTACTGCTGCATTGCCTCCACATTGGTCTCAATAACACCAGCACTGGCCTGAGACTGAGAGCACGGCCGACTGCTGGCATTATTCTGACCAGCACAGAGTCCAACCTCCTCTTCACATATTTAGCTGGCTCTGTCATTACGATGCGGCGCAGCTGCACAGTGGTACAGTGGTTAGCATTGTCACATCACAGCAAGAGGGTTCATGGTTCAAACCTGGGTTGAGGGAGCCCTTCTGTGTAGAGTTTGCATGTTCTCCTTGTGGCAGCATGGGTTTTATAAAAAAAAAAAGTTGAGTCTACCAGGGTTCCAACATCACAGCATGTAGGCTGGACTAAGAACCATCGCAGAGTACAAGAGGTAATATCTGCATCTCTCCCAGATGAACAGAACACCTGCTATGCAGGCTTTGAGACCAAGTCCCTGACTGAGAAAGTACAAAAGGCCCAGGACCCCTGCCCACTATTAATATCCAAGGCAGACAGATCTGTCAGAAGGTTTAATCCACACAAGGCACCTGGCCCCAGTTATTTAGAAGTAATGTGATCAGACTTTGGGGAAAACAGGGTTGTTTAAAAGGAAAAAAAGGGATTCTGAGACTGGATAAGAAGAAGATAAACTTAACTTTATGAAGGGAATGGAAGAGAATTCAGTTTTTTTTTAACTTTGATGTCATATACACACATATGCACCAGCAGGACCATACATGACTATACAAAAATAAATAAATAAATAAA